GGTCTCATCTACAAACTACTACAGTTAAAATTCCCTCACGACATCGTCCAACTGATATGGCACATGACAAGAAATAGGAAATTCCGAACTTGGAACGGTGAACTCTTTTCAACAATCATGTTCAACATAACAGATGTTTGGGCTGGAAAGTTTGTCAGTCTGTTTACTGAACACAATGTTTTTTGAATTTTCAAAATTAATTCTTCAAGATTTTCTATTTATTCTCTGTTGCAGATTCATTTAGTGATGGAGGAAGAGGATAGCAAAACTGTTGAACGTGTTAGGAGGGATTAACCGTAGACCGGGATAGACCGAACTTTCGGAATATTTATTAAAACGATTGAGACGATACAAAAACTAATGTGAGCGCTGATGCTCATACACGTTGAACAACGAAACAGAAAAAGCTCCGATATAATATGTCGTCGATGTAGGAAGGAAGTGCACACAGCACCTCCTGATGGCAACCGGGGGAATCACGGATAGCCTACGGATTTTTTCATCTCCAACGGAACGCAAATTATATGAACGATAATGAAGGAATCTATACAATAATAGCTCCTGCAAAAAAAAGTGGAACATAGGAGAAGTTCAACCCAGTGAAGGACATTATTGCTAATAACGTGTTAGATTTCGTGCAATGCAAGATATGCAAAATAGTCTACAAGTACAAATCATCGAGCGGATTGTCTCACATTTTGCGACATAAATGTGCCGCAGGAGGCAACACCGAAACGACCAACACGTCGAACGTGTCACTGTCAACTGAATACAAGAAGAAGATAGTGAAGGCATGCTTGAGATATTGCGTCAGGGACCTGCGATCATTTAACGCAATAAATATTCTTGGATCTAAGTAGTTACGACATATTTCCGCATGCGACAACCGTATCGCGACATATATTGGAAGAAGTCGAACAGTTTAAGCAGCGAATCGTGCCAGAGATTGTCCATGCTGTGTAGAAAGGTCAGTGTGCAGCAACCACCGACTTTTGGACGGACAGTGTGACCAAAATCATATTTTACACGATTACTGTGCATTATTTGAAGGAGTGGAAGTTAACGCCAAGAGTGCTTTTCACTACCGAATTTCCGGAAGAAAGGAAAACGGCGGACAATATTATCTGCGAATTAACCCGGAAATTTGTACATTTTGTAGTTCAACAGCTGATGAGGATAACATTCGTAACCGACGAAAGAAGCAGTAGAAGACTTAGAACGACATAATTGTGCGGCGCACCAATTGAACTGCGCGCTGAAGCCATAGAGATAATATAAATAGAGGAGGGGAGCCAGGCCAAAACCTATCGCTCCTCTAGAAAGAGAGAACAAATTTGTGGCACTATCTATCCTTGTCTAATGACACATGCGCATTACAATCGAATGTCGTCTGCATCCACCCGTTTTGGAAAATAAATTTACAAAGCATTAGATTATAAAATATTTGTACTTCATTGCACAATAGCAAATATTAACATTTTAAACATTAAATTATATATTAATTCATCTATAAACATAAACATATATAAAAATATTTGTACGAAACAAAATATGCAAAATGTATCCTAACGATTATTCGTCCTTAAAAATAGTTAGTTTATTGTACAGTGCTCTTATTCGATACTTTATGTCGCTTAATTTGTCACTTACGTGTTTTAATCGTTTGTTTATATAATTCTGTACAATGAGATAAATAATTTGTTGTCCCTGCTGCTGCTACTGAGCAGTGCGCATGCGCCATTAGAGAAGAACAGATAGTGCCACAAATTCTTTCTCTCTCTCTACTCGCCGGATCTTTCCGCTTACAAAGATTCCTATGGCTCCCCTCCTCTATTTATATTATCTCTATGGCTGAAGCACGGATTTAGGGAAGATGGGATGGAAATGAAGTTGCGCAGATCCTCGATCAGACGAAAAATATCGTTGCGTACTTGAAGTTGGATACGTAACTCGTCTCTCAAAGCTAGTTTATATAGAGATTAAACCGTTTGACGGAAACCCGTTTGAGTGGCACAACTCCATGATACGTTTAAAAGTTTGGTGCATTATAATATGGATTTAAACGGTGTACAAAAGTTTCACTTGTTAAAAAACGCACTCCGTGGAGAGGCCACAGAAGTCATCGATTCATTGAACGCGACAGAAGACAATTAAGTACCTGGTAGCTTGGGATTTGTTATGTAAACGATGCAACAAACCGCGGAAAATTATTAATGCACATTTGAAGAAATTATTTGACCTTCCGGAGGTCTCTCGAGACACATCGGCAAATCTTAGGCAACTCTCAGAACAGGCGCAAGTTCATGTAAATGCGTTAAAAGCGTTAAAACAGTCTGTAGAACAGTGGGATACGATTCTCATCAAGGGGCGCGTTAGCGGCCCGAAGGCAAGTTTGAGGCCCGTCAGGGGGCAGCATTGCCGTCGGGCACCGCGTACCTTATTTTTACACGTAAATTCGACATTTCGAATTTCTTTCGTGAATATTAATTCTTTCCTCTATATTTTCTTAATGCTTTAATGTCACAATACACTTTTTGTACACTATTTTACAATGTGTAACAAGTCTTATTTAAAAAGATGTCCTTAATGCAGAGATATTTTTCAGAAGTCATTAGATGGTCCGATATCAAAATCTTTTCTCTTTCGTCTCCCCTATTTCTTTTTACCATGAAGTTTATATAATCTCGTCGGAATTAGACAAAAATACACGTCGCGCATGGGAACGAACCCTAGAAGATGAGGAAATACCTAAGTTTAGTAATTTTGTAGAATTTATCAACAAACATGGTCGCGGAGATGATCTCGAACCCAAGTTTTCGAGTTCATTAAAGGCAGCTGATAAAACACGTTCAAAGGTTCATGGGCGTCAAACATACGTGACAACAAATGGGCAGAAGTTACTTTGCGCAGTGTGCGGGGCAGAACATTCAATTTACGCATGTTCCAAATTTCTTCAGTTAGAAGTTCGTGAACGATTAAACACGGGCGAAATTATGCATAAATTGTCTCCTGGCGAATCGTACCGTTAGAAAAGAGGCATCACACTCTTCTTCATTTTCCAATTGAAACACAAGAGAGTACAATTGTATCGCAGTCTTCCACTTCCATCGAGACAGTCAAGACGACGCTTACTGCATTTTATGATTCCGAAATATTGTTAGGTACAGCTCAGGTCAGAATCTTAGGGACATATTTGTCGTGTATTGTTGGACAGCGGTTCACAAACACACTTCATAACAAACAGATTCGCCAAAAAATTACAGCTAGCCAAACAAAAAATAGATCTCTCTTTCTCTGGACTCGGCAATCTTAAGGATGTATTGGGTATACAGTCAATCATAAAAGTTTATGTACCTTAGAAAAACGCATTTCCTATAATTAAAAAGAAATCAGACGTCGGAAGAATAATGCTAATAATAAATAGCTATGTGCTAAAAGGAATAGAAGGAAATATTCAATTAAGTATTGACG